GCTAAGAATGTTGTGTTCAACATTATGAACAGAAAGACTACTGCAGATCTGATGAAGGTGTTATCAAATATGTATGAAAAGTCATCCTTAAGCAATAAAGTATATTTGATTTGTCAGTTATTCAAAATGAGAGAAGGAAATGTTGTGACTAATCACACTAATTAATTTAATACAATTTTTGCTCATAAGGTGTCGATGGAGATCATGTTTGATGATGAGGTGAATGTGCTAATTTTATTATCCCTTCTGGATGGTTCGACTGCAACTGTTGCTACAGTTAGTAGTTTTATAACGAATAACAAGTTAAAACTTGAGGACATTCGTGATTTGATTTAAGTGAAGACGTTCGCATGAGAGACTCGAAGGAACCTTTCAATGTTGAATACTGGAAGTAGAGGAAGGAGTAGGTAGAAGTGTCAAGATCAAGGTCAAGGCAGATCAAAGTCTAAAGGGAAAGGATAAACAAAGTTCATAATGATATTATTTGTCAAAATTGTGATAAAAGAGATCATTTTACCAATCAATACAAAAATCCAAAGAAGAAGAAGAGTAATAAAAATAAGAAGTATGACTACATGAGAAAGGTATGATTTTATTTTCTTCGAGGCTCACACTATTATGTCACCTTCATTGATGACTCTATGAGAAAGATGATTTTATTTTCTTACAAATAAATATAATCTGTTTTTTGTGCTTAAAAAGTGGAAAGTAGAAGAAATCAAACATGATTAAAGGTTAAAATCTTTAAATCTTATAATGGTGAAGAGTATGATAGTCAAAAGTTTAAGAACTTTTGTTAAAAAAATGGAATTAGAATAATTAAGATAATACCAAAAACATTAGAACAAAATGGTGTTGCAGAAAGGATGAACAAAACCTTGAATGAGAGATCAAGATGCATATGGATCCAGTCTGACTTGCCTAAAATGTTTTGGATAGATGCAATAAATACAATAACTTATCTCATAAATAAAGGGCCATCAGTTCCTTTAGATTATCAATTTCCTAAAGGAGTAAATCTTTTACATTTGAGAGATTTTGGTTGTCCCATATGTTATCATAAACTCTAACGACATAGATAAACTAAACTCCTAGGCAAGAAAATGTTATTTTATCGACTATGAATTTGACATGTATGGCTATAGGTTTTAGAATAACCAAAATCAGAAAATCATTAGAAGTAAAAATGTCACTTTTAATGAGAACATGTTCTATATAGATAAATCTACATAATCTATATGTGCAACTAAAGTACTAGAATTTTCTGAGAAGTAACACTAGAAGAAATTTTAGAAAGTGATGTAGCTAACAGAAGGCAGGATTCAGAGGTACAACTTGAGTCAGAACCAGAACTAATAGTAGTGCCAAAAACCCCTGTAAACATATTGAGGAGATCTAATAAAGTTCCAATAACGCGATAAAAGTATTCTCCTTTATTGCATTATTGGTTAATAACTGATGCTATGAGCTAGAATATTTTGTTGAGGCCATGCATGAGAATAACTCTATTAAGTGGGAGTTAACAATGAAAGATAAAATGGTATCCCTTCAAAAGAATGGAACACAGACATTAACCATGTTACTTGAAAAAAAGTCTTGCAAAACATGTAGGTATATAGGTTGAAAGAAGAACCTGACGTAGCAAAAGATACAAGGCAAGACTTATAGTGAAAGGGTTTCAACAAACATAAGGATTGATTTCATAAAGATTTTCTCTCCTATTATCAAGATGAACTACCATTAGAGTTATCTTAAGTATTGTTACAAAGAATCTTCACTTGAAGCAGTTAGATGTTAAAACTGCATTCCTACATGAGACTTGGAGTAAGACATTTATATGACACAACCTAAAAGTCTTGAAGTTTCAAGCAAGGAGAATCTTGTATATAAACTTCACAAAAGTTTGTATGGCTTGAAACAAGCACCAAGACAGTGATACAAGAAGTTTAATGAGTTCATGAACCACTTTATATTTCACAAATGTGATGTGAATCACTGTTGATATGTTAAGAAGTATGTTAATAGAAAACTTGTTAGATTTTGGCAAGTGTACCAAGTTTTCGATGTAATATAAAGGGTTATCGTATCCACAAACAATGTGGACACTTAAGCGATTTTAACTATCCAATTTAATTAACAAATTCCTAAATATTCACAAATGTACAACTATGTAAAATTTTAGGTTTTTAATGGTTTGGTTCATAGAAAATAAATGCAAATGCCAATAAAAGTAAATTAAACTACTATGATAAGATTGGAGATTGGACTTCATCTATCATCTTCTTCATAATTTGGTTCTAACACACATTTAACAATTACCAAAGTTCTATAATGCGCTTTCATTATATTAACCTGTTTTGATTCCTCACCCGAGATTCTAAGATATATCTATTAAGTGATGATTTTTTACCTAAACAACAAATAATCTAGCATTACTAGTAAGAGTTATATAGCATACAATATATTAAAATTTATTCCTAGAGTCTCAACTCATTATGTGAGTTTACCCCAACTAGGTCCCAAGTTAGTTGTTACACTTAACTCAGATTCTCAAATGATGAATCATTCCCTGTAAGGTAGAAACAAGTATTACAATTAAGATAAACAAACCCAACTCATAGCAAAGAACAAACATATAATAAAAATACTAAAACATTCTAAGTATGAAAATTCTATCCAATCCCTAAAGAGTTTTAGCTTTTCATGGCATACGTTACAATAAGAAAATGCAAGGAAAAGAGATAGAAATTAGTTCCTCCAATGGTTCTTAGTCACTTTCCCAAGCTCCTCCACTACGCTGCAATGCCAAATTAGGTCAGTGTATGTTCGGGCTCCAAAGCCTTCTTTGGCTCTCCCTTTTCGAGTTGAATCTTCTATCTTTATAAGACAATAAGTGAATTTTCGCTCAAGCAAGCCAATTCTCGTTCAAGCAAAAAATAACCCAAGACTACAGGTCTTCTCGCTTAGGTGAGCCATTCTCGCTTAAGCAGGGTCATTTTTGCTCAAGAGAGAAAACCCAAAAAAAAAAATTTAGTTTAAATTCTGCATTTCTCACTCAAGCAAGGAAATTCTAACTTGACTGAGACTTGAAAATCTAGACAACTTCAGGAAATTTGTCTCATTTTCAAAAAATCATAAAAAATAGAAAATAACTTTAAATCCAACAAAACTATATATGTATTTTGAATTCCTAGATGTGTAGAATCTAATGCAACTATAATCAGTCAAAAATAATATTTGTAGAAAAGTTATGGTCAAAAGAGTAGACAAAGGTCATATTAGCTAAAAATATAAAATTAAAACATATATACAAAACAAGATCAAATCATTTTATTAATAAGAAATGGTGAAAACTCTCAAAATAAAGCATATGAAGAGTATTTTGAAGACACAATAAATTTATAAATGTAAACAGCCCATCAAGCCTTTCGCTTAAGAAAATTCATATAAGAAAAGTGGATGAAATATCTTTTATTATTTGACAAAATTAGAGCTAAAATTGTTGAATTTAAATGACATGAACTTAAATGCATTAAAATATGAATTGCAAGGAGTTTAAGTGTAAAATACATGAAAAGGAATCAAATAAGTGTCAAAATATATACTAAAAATATCTAAAATATAACACTTATCATACATTAACAGTTATGTCATTTTTGCTTTATATGTTGATAACATATTGATTGTAGGGTTCAGTATAATAGAAATTATCAGGTTGAAGCAACATTTGACAAAAAGCTTTGAGACGAGGATCCAATTAGAAAAATTATCGGTATGAGGATCTTCAAAAACAGATCAAAAGGTGTTTTGAAGTTGTCTCGATAGAAATTTATAGAAGAATTATTTGATAGGTTTTATGTTAGAGATGCCAAAATTAGAAATACCTATTTAGAAACTCACTTAAAGTTTTCAAAGAAACAATCTTTACAAAAAGATGAAGAAAGTGACATGTCAAGAGTACCATATGTGTCAACAGTAGAGAGTTTGATGTATATTATGGTGTGTACCAGATATAATGTAGCACATGCAATAAGAGTTGTTAGTAGCTTTATATCAAATCCCAAAAAGAAGCATTGAGAAGGTGTGGAATGGATAGTGAGATTTCTGAAGGGCACTTCAAAGAATGTGTTTGCGCCTTGGCAAAAACAATCTCACTTTATTGGAATTTGCTAATGCAAATTTGGGAGGAGATTTAAGTGGTAGAAAAAGCACCACATGTTATATTTTTAATTTAGATGGTATAGTTATAAGTTGAAAGTCTAAACTTCAAGGTAGAGTTACTCTCTTAACCACTAAAGCCAAGTATATGACTATCTCAGAAATAGTCAAAGAAGTGTTATGGCTAAAGAATTTTATCAAAGAATGGTCAAAAAGAGCAAGATAATTCTTCATTATTCAATAATAGTTAGATTGTTACATGTCTTGCTAAAAATTCAGTCTTTTATTCCAAATGCAAGCATATTAATATGAAGTATCATTTCATTATAAACTTGATAAGTGATGAAGACTATTCTTTGTTAAAGATCTCAAGATTAGAAAACTTAACTGATATGTTGACCAAGATTGTGACAAATGATAAGTTGAGACTTTACATTACCTCAACTTACCTTCAAAGATAATTGATGATAAATGAGTTGCACTAAGTGAAGGGAATATAAGCTCATTGTTTACAAGGAATAATTGTGAATCAAACTCTAAGTGAAAGAATTGTTAGAATTATGCAATCTGATAACTTGCATTGTTTATTCTTAAGAGAATTTTGTTTTTATTGTTGCTGTAGTAATGAAACTTTTTGCCTACTTTCACAACATAAAGACTAAAGAGCTCTCTTACATTTTGCGCCTCAAGGGAGGTAATAGTAAATTTAATGAAATAACTGCATCCTAAGATAGATTGTTTTGTTGTATGCGACATGTAAAGAAATGTCATATTATTTGTTTTATTGTTTAGGCATATTAATTCAACACCAAGTTGCTAATCGTATTTGTATTTGGAAGTAAAGGCAAAAGGAAATATTTTTTTGTATAAGAAGTTTAAAACTAATCAACCAAAAGCAGAAGATTGTAAACTAATCACCAGGAACATACATGATACATGCAATGAGTCCAAGTTTTCTAAACACTAGTAAAACTCTTGAAAAATGCTCGTTCAAGTTATTACAGCATTGACAAACTATAATCCCTGATCTGAATTTGCCATCATCTGATCATAAAGCAAAGGAGGAACCCCAACTTCCAGGGTTCCATCCAGCATTTGTGTGACCTGCTTCATTGAAGGTCTAAGAGCTTGGTTTGGATGAACACACCATAATCCAACCAAGGCCATTTGTTCAAATCTCTGGAAATCATTGAGCACTTCTGAATCATGCCTCACTACTTGCTCTAGTTTCCTAGACACCATGCATCTTAAAACCCAATTCGAAAGAACCAAATCATCCTCTAGGCTATCTATGTCATCTTGGCACGACTCAATGTGCCTCCTGCAGCAAATAATCTCTAGTAACATAACCCCAAAGCTGTATATGTCAACTTTGGCGGTTATTGGTGCACTTCTTAGCCACTCAGGTGCTATATACCCTATTGTCCCTCGTAAATTAGTGCTTGTTCTGCTTTGATCTTTTTTCAAAAGCTTGGAAAGCCCAAAATCTGCTATCTTTGCGGTGTGATTGGCATCAAGCAACACATTTTGGGGCTTGATATCACAATGTATGATCTGGGTCTCACACTCTTCGTGCAAGTATAGTAAGCCCCTTGCAATGCCAAGAGCCATTTCAATCCTTTGACCCCAATGTGGTCTTCCTCCCTCTCTAAACAAAACACTGGACAGTGCTCCGTTTGGCATCAACTCATACACAAGAAGTCTATGGTTATTCTCAATGCAAAAGCCCAAAAGCCTCACCAAATTTCTGTGATGGGTACGGCCAATAATTTTGAGCTCAGTCATGAACTCACTGTCACTTTTCTCAACATTCTTTTCCAGTTTCTTTACTGCAATACCAATTTCTGCATCTTCTATTATTAAAGTTCCACTGAAGACTTTGCCTGAAGATCCCTTACCAAGAATCCTAGTGAATCCATTCGTTGCTTCATGCAGCTCCTGGAATGTGAATTCCCTGAAGTTGATTCCAATAGCAGCTGCATTCAGAGACTTCCTTCTTCTTGTTAGTCTCTGAGCAAAAGGATGATAGTAAACAGCAAGGGCACCAAAGAAACAGGCAAAAGTGGCACTAACTGCAAGCATAACCTTCAAAAAAACCCTCACATTAAATCTCTTCTTCTTGGAAACTTTAGATATTCTAGACTCAACACTGTTAGGAACTTTGAGAAGTGCTTTCTGTCCCTTCGAAGATGAACTCCTTCTAGCATTCAGCAACGGCATGCTCTTCTTGGCACATGTAAAGGTTGAAGCGTTATAAGTTGCAGCAATGATATTGCAATCTTCCATCACAGACTTCTTACAACCTTCCAAATCAACTTCTGTTTGGTGAGAAAAATCTGGATAAAATTGAAAATCAGTGTCCTCAAACACCTGCACCTTGAAGTTCATCACAGAAGGTTCAGCACAGTAATTGATTACAGCTGCTGGATGACACCCTTTGGACAAATCTTCTTGATCCAATGGGATATAACCTTGAATACAATCACACTTCACTGATTCATTGTCAGGAGAAGTGCACAAGCCATACACACCACATACAGCGTCCACTCTGCAGGGATCCTCAACAGCTTTCCAAACATTCCTCCACTCAGTGCCATTTCTTTTGTGATATGCATATTGATGGAAATTGCCATTCTCATCGATTGTAGCACGGTGATAATAATCATTTACTGGGGTTGGAGCTTTGTTTGTTACATTGAAAATATTCCTAGAGCCACTAACAAGATACAAGGAAGCAGTAGTAGCATCAAACACCAAATTAGCATTTGGGAATGATGTGGTTAAAGTGTACCAATATGCAGGGTCTGACCATTTGTATGCTTTTAGCACCAAGTTCCCATCACCTTGCATTTGCAGCATGAAGTTTCCCATTGAGTAGTTTGAAGTTCCTTTCCCCTTAGAGTAGAGTATTTGATTACTTTGCAAGGTTTGACCCGGTAAGATTGTGTTAGCTGGAGAGTTGAAGCTCTCCCAAACAGATCCTAAGTTGGAGTCCTTCATGACAAAATTGCCATCATCTTGCATGTGTGCAGAAGTTGCAGTGCTTCCTCCATCATATATTGTCTGAGCAATAGATCCATTTGGGTGTGTTACCACAAGGTGTCCCAAAGAAGTGAAATCGATTAAGGAACTTGGTTCCACAGGGGGACTATGGTACCATACAAATGTTATCTCTTGGATCTTCCCAAACCATATTCCCACAAGAAAAAGACCAGTTGGAAGACGATGGAATCCAAATTCAAAATCACCAGAGGGTGACTTCCAAGTGGAGTTTGATCCAGCAGTGATGCTTGTGTTTAATGCTATTGCCATGGAATTCTGGGCATGTAAGCCATTAAGATGTAAGACTAGTGCAAGAATGAAAGGCAGAAACATAGCTAAAGACATTGCAGTTTCTATGGTGTGAGGGAAGAACAGAGAAGTTTATATGAAGAGCCTTCCCCCGGATTGTTACAGCGCATGTAAACGTTTGCAGACTCATTCAAAGACCACAAAACTCTGCTATCCAAAGTCAATGAGTCAATTCCCTTATAGCATACCTTTCAAGGGTAGTGCCGTATGAATCATGACTGATTTGACTCTTCGTACAAACTTTTATTTCAATTTTGAATGGCGTATCATCTATATTTGACATAAAATGCGACTACAATCTATGAATAAATTATACTAGTAGTTAATCTTGTATCCTCGAAAAAGAAATGGCTGTAGTTAATCAATTGCTCCAAAAGTATTGATGAGTGAAATTTGTCAATTTTTTACAGAAAAACTATTAAAAAATATATAAATAAATTTATTGTTTAATTATTTATTTAAATAGACTTTTTTACTGGATTATGTTTTTGTTAGCTAAAATTTAGTTTTCGGAAAATCAAATTCTGATTTGAGTTTTTTTTTTGTTTTTAAATTTTATTTTATGTTTTTATATAATAAAATAAATATTATTATTTAAATTATATTTATAATATGTTATTCTAATAAATATTTACAAATATTTTTTTAATTATATATAATAAAATAAGTTTTATTATTTGAATTATGTTTATATTTTTATATTATTTAAAAATAAATAAAAATAATAATAATATTTATTTTATATGTTTATTAAAATTTATTTTACATATTTAAGATAATAAATAATGTTTTTAGAAAACAATAATAATTATATTTTAAAAACTAATTAAAATAATTAAATAATAAGTAAATTATTTTAGATAATTTTTAAAAACTAATTAAAATATTTAAATCATAAGTATATTATTTTAGATAGTAATGTTAATGCTTAAATTACTTATACTTAAGAATAATAATTATATTTTTAAAAATTAAATAAATATATTAAATATTATTCTATTTATTTATTTATTTAAATATGTTATTTTGAAATAATATTTTTAAATATTAGTATGATAAAATGATATTTTGAATAAAAAAATTATTTTAATTAAATTAGTTTTTCTAAAAAATTACTTTATTTAATATTATAATTTTTAATACCCTAAATCTTAAAATTTTACTATTATAATTTTTAATAAATTTTATTTTAGAATAAAAAATTTATTTTTAAAAAGTAAATAAAATATTAAATTATAAGTTAAGTATTTATACTTGAGACAAATATTTTAAAATTAATGTTTTCATATTATTAAGGTAACATTGATGAAGACAAAGTGCATTAATAAAGATGATAACAAATTCATAACAACATTAATAATTAACTATCTCCGTAATTGTGGCCAGTTCCACAACGAGGGCGACGTCTGTGACGTGGTAAGTTTCGTCGTTGTGGTTATTACTTAGAGATTTCAGGATAAATTTTTGGAAGATTTTGATCATCATGAAGGTCTAGTTGTTGGAATGCATTTGATGAATTACCAGGTTCATTAACAAAATCCACTTGGTAAAGAGACTGCATGTAAGTTTGGGCTAAAGATGGAGTTGTAAAATTAATTCCAAATAAATTTGTAAAAATATCCTCCGATGTTGTTGCAAACGAATGTCTTGTGTTAATTATGTTTGCTTTTGGCGTAATGTTCAAAGGAATTGATGCAATCTCGTGGTACGACGGTGTGGAAGTCGTACCAATTTCAAATGTGTTGGTAGTCCTTAGTTGTTGGTCGTTCCTCCTTAGATCTTGTAGTAGTGGTAGTACAGATAGGAAATAGATGGAATTGACAATGTACCATTCGATGTATTCTTGTGTGTGACATAATAGGCCTTGCATTGGATGGCCTATTATTGTCAGCTCACGTCTGTTGTTCCATATCTCGATCCATTGAGCATGTCTTGTAACTCAATTTTTATCTTGTCTTCCTCTCATGTTAATTTTATGGAGGTCATTTTAATTATTTGGTGGAGAAAGAACTTCTTAGAAGAGACGAAACTGTAATTTGACTCTATCTGTTTGGTGTCATTCAACAATTGCAAAACAAAGGATAGCGGTACATAAAGTCCACAATTGGACATCTCTATATGCTTCCATGGATATTTATGTTTGCAAGTATTGATATGACACCCATAAAAAATATAAATAAATTTAACTTTGTTACTTAAGATGTGTAAAAGATAAGAAAATAAATATGAATTTAAATTTTTGTTATGAAAAGTTACCTAATTAACTTGAATGTGATCAAACATTGATCTATACCCCCACAACATCATTGTGAGGTTTATTTCGAAAGTTTAGCACTCTACCCCCGCTCCATCTGCATACGAGAGGGTATGTTGGTAGATTACTAGAAATTGGCACAATATATGACATGTGATACAATGTCCAAGATATTAACAGTGATGAGCAACCACTCATTGTTTTGCTACTAACTTCCGTGGCTCTGCTTATTTCTCTGTACAACATAGCTAAACAAGCAAAACCCCAACTATATCATCTTGTTCTTCTAAGATTAGTTAATAAAGCTAAATACATAAGATGTACTTTGTTTCCTATTTTGTCAGGCATCAAAACACATCTAATTAAACCTAGTATATAAGTCCTACAATGGGCGTGAACTTCTTCTTCAGATGGTTCTTCTGGTAGTGGCAACATGTTATCTCTCAGCCACTTCAGTTTCAACATAGAGCCAATAAGTGACTCTCTCTTGACTGGCACGATACCGAGATATGTGTCACACATCTCCTCTCGGTCAAACATTGTTGGAGCAATGACTAGTAAATCATCAACTCTTAGCCAGAGTTGAAGTGCAACATCCTCTAGAGTTATGGTGCACTCCCCTGTTGGAAAAATAGAATGTGTGAGTTTCAAGCCTCCACCTCTCGACCAAAGCTGTTATCAATGAGTAATCCACCTTAAGATGCCTTAGCTTTGCTACCCCAACAAAACTAAGTTATTCAAGTATAGGAACAATTAGAGGACTGGGTTCTGGCATTGAATGATAGAAAGATAAAATCATGTTTTCAGTTTCCTGCTGTTATTAACAAATTAATAATATTATATGTAGAATATTGATTTATATATTCAGTAAATAATGGTAATGTGTAAAACTTACCGTTCTTCCAATGAAGGCGGACCTGTGTTCGTTTTGCTTCCACAACAACATTTTTAGTAATAGGAGCAAAGACAGAGAGAAACGAAGGACAAAGATAGATGCAAGTTTGAATGAAAACATGTGGCCTTAGATGAACATATTTATAGATAAACTTTGGTACGAGAGAGTAGTCTTGGATTCTTGAGAAGTCACTATCTCTTGGTCTACATGAATGTCAAAAGGCATCTTTGATTGGGAGGAGAGAAAACCTGTTTGGAAGTATATAGGATGGCTTGAATGAGAAGAGAATCTAATGTTGGGCATGACTGAGAAGTTACTATCTCTTAGTCTACGTGAATGGAGAGGTCATCATCATTCGTAAAATGTAATGAAGCATTGAATAACTGAGAATCTAATGTTACCATTATAAATAACCATATTTGTGTTCACTTTCTTCATTCAACCTTCTAAGTTTGTTTCTTGTTCTTGTGAACCTTCTCCTTCGAAACTTATTCATCATTCACTTTCTTTAATCTAAAAATGTCTTCAATCTATGTCATTATTCATTCTGATGATGCCATTAACCAATGTCCTAATAAAGGAGTCACCTCATCATCAACTAAATTCATACATCTAAAGAGAGGAGTGACTCTAAAAAGGCTTAAGAAAGTCATTCACACAAAACTTAACCGAAACGAAAATGAAAGGGTGACAACCATACATTTTCATTACCCAATTAGACTTGGCCCAGGAGTTAGCAACTACATATGTGTTGAGTTGAACGAAGATGAAGACGTCGAGGCACTCTTCAACATCCACAATTCAAATCAACTTTAATCAGATATAGAATTATATGTTACATTTGCTACAAACGTAACCTAGGCACCACAACTTTCACCTTCACTTTCACTTTCACCTTACCAAACTTACGAAACCATAAATCTATCTTTTCCAACATATGATATGAATTCTGACCTTCAGTCCTATACACAACTTTTAACTGGTCCATTCATAGACCTCAATGAAATACCCTCCCAACCATTTAAGCAAACCCTACCCTCTCAGCCTCTTAAAGAAACCCCCATTGAAGAACATGATGTTATGGGTCTCCCAATCGAAGTATTTGATCCTTTTAGCGAGGATGAAGATGAAATTCTATCTCAACAGCAGGATGATGAAGAAGACTCCCTCCCACTTCCAAATATTCCACCATCACAACTATTACCATTATACAACCCACCTTCACATTTTTTAGACTCTTCCAGTCAAATACAAGAACATGACTCTGAGTTTGGCCATGTCCTTGATTGTGAAATGGTAGTGTATCCGCCTGGAACACTATTTGTTGGTTAGCGCTTCCTAACAAAAGAACAAGTGCAAGACGCCATAAATAGATTTCACATTGTCAATCATTGCACTTACAAGGTGAAGATGTCAAGCACAACTAGGCTTGTCATAGAATGCGTTCACAACGACTGTACCTGAAAATGTCGCGCTATATTGCACACTAAAGAGCAACACTGGAAAATAATGAAACTTGAAGGGTGTCACACATGTGCTTCTCCACTCATTTCACAGGATCATAACAAGTTGGGATTATGAATGATTTCACAAACTATTTGTGAAATTATTAAAACTGATCCATCCACACCCATCGCAACCATCTTAGCCCACATAAAATCCACAATAAGTTACACAATCAGCTATAGAAATGGATGGTTGAGAAAACAACATGCCATTAAAAATATCTTCAAAAATTGGGAGGAGTCATACCATAAGTTACCTAGATAGTTGTTTGCAATGCAATTGTATGTTCTGGGCTTCATCTGAAAATTGAGTACACAACTAGCATACAAGGGTGGCTTGTTTGACGAGGAGAATGTGTTTTTCAAGAGGTTGTTTTGGACCTTCAAGCCATGCATTGATGGTTTTTCCTTTTGCAAACTAATTGTTCAAGTGGATGAAACATTTTTGTATGGCAAATACAAAGGGACTTTATTAGTGGTAATTGCGCAAGACGGCCGCAACAACATAATTCTCATTGTCTTTGCTGTGGTTGAAGGTTAAACCAACGATGTATGGTTCTTTTTTTTGAAAAACTTAAGGAGGTACGTAACCCCGCAAGAGGAGTTGTGCCTTATTTCGAATCGTCACGAAGCCATAAGAAGTGCATACTTCAGAAATGGAAGTAGTTGGACAGAAAACAATTCTTTCCATGTCTATTGCATTAGACATATTGCATAAAACTTCATGGGACGATTCAAAAATGTTGCACTGAAGAAAGATGTCATCAATATGGGTAATTTTAATTTTTTACGTACTCTATATTATTATTAATATTTTATACAATTACTTAGCTAGTTACATTAATTTAATTTGTAATCTTTTTTCAGCATATGGGATGACTGAATCGAAATTCTTTTACTATTACAACATCGTAAAAGATAATAACCCTGAAGCTGCACAATGGTTAGACAACATCCCAAGGAAAAAATGGACGCTGGCATGGGACAACAGACAACGTTGGGAATACATGACAACAAACCTAGCAAAGTCAATCATTTCGGTCTTAAAGAAAACTAAAAACCTGCCAATTTGCGCCATGGTCATGGCAACAGGCAAGGAAGTAGATGCAATGATTAATGCTGGACATATGTACTCGGAGGTTGCAACTAAAGCAATTCAAGATGCACAGTCAAAGGCAAACACTCATAGAGTCATCACCTTTGACAGAACAAACACTAGATTTTTAGTCGAAAAAACGCAACATCCGACAGAAAATTTGACCCGTAAGAAGATTTACAGTATGATTAGATGAAATGTGGTGTGATTGTGGCAAGTTCCAAAAAGTTTACATCCTATGCTCGCATATACTTGCTTCATGCTTACACACACACACCATAACTTTGACATCTACATATCTCCCTGTATACTTTACAACAAGTTTCTAAGGAATACGAGAACTCAGACACGAAGATTATTGACTAACTTACACGAAGCCAACTTTGTGTCTAAATTCAGAACTGAAAAGAACTTCAAAGAGTTGACCCAAGTCCAGTAGGATAAAAACAGAGATTGACATTAAAGGACAACAAAATTATAGTTTATATTGATTTATATTGTTGTTGTTATTTTAAAATTTTTTTAATGTCATTTTTAATTTTATGAATGTCATTGCAACTTTTAAATTTTTAGTATTTGTAATTTATATTAAATATATAATTATATATATATATATATCTACATAATATTATTTAATAATATTTATTAATATTAATAACATATTTTTTAAATAAATAATTATGTATAAATTTTAATAAGGATTAATATCTCAAAATAAATAAATAAATTGGTTATTATTTAATACTTTTATTTATTTTATAAATATATAAAATTAAATAAATTTTTATTATAATTTTTATTTTATACAAATTTAAAATTAAATAAATTTTTATTGTAATTTTTATTTTTAAAAAAATATAATATTAAATAACGAAAAATATAATTTTAGAATATAATATTAATATCATTTTAAAAAAATTAAAATTATATTAAATAATATAATAAGAAAAACAAAAATATTATTTATTATCTTAAATATGTAAAATAAATTTTAATAAACATGTAAAATAAATATTATTATTTTTATTTTTATTTATTTTCAAATAATATAAAAATATAAACACAATTCAAATAATAAAATTATTTTATTATATATAATTAAAAAAATATTTATAAATATTTATTAGAATAACATATTATAAATATTTATTTTAAAAAATATAAATATATAAATATAATTTAAATAATAATATTTATTTTATTATATATAAATATAAAACAAAATTTAAAAACAAAAAAAAAAAATCAAGTCTGAGAACCGAATTCTGGCTAATAAAAATATGCTACAAAAGAGTCTATTTGGGTAAATAATTAAGTGACGGATCTATTTGTGTATTTTTTTAATAATTTTTCTGTAAAAAATTCAAAATTTGTGGAATCAAAATTATCTTATTAATTTGCGTACTACAAAACGTTGTATAGTTTTAATAAAATAATTAAGCTTCTTATTCTTATTTTTAATTTATTGAGAAAAATAAAATTTTCTTCTTAATCAAAATAAAATATTCTCTTTTTTACATTAATGGGAGTTTTTACCATTATCTTTTTTCATTAAATATGATAAATTTAAGTTACGAAAATAACATTACGACAAGTTATTAAGAAAAGTTTAGATTTGTTTTGTCGAGAACAACTTACGAAAGTTTTACAGGAAGGTAAGATTAGCTATTTACAATAAAAAAAGATTTATACCTTCAATATGCATATCATGTACCCTATAAGAAGATTAATATGGCTGCTGGGAAAGGATGACTATATATAACAATGACAGTTGAAATAAAAATATATTTTACTTTTGTCATTCTTTTCTTACTATATTGGTAATTAAAAATACATAAATTACGCGATATAGCAAAATTTAGAGCCCAGTCCAAATGATAAAAATGGCACGCAAAAGTTGATCTTAGATAAATTTAAAACGAAAATAAAATTAACATAAGTTGAATCACGAACTTCCAATTTTCTCTGCACCATTTTTCCATGGATCAGCTAAGTGGTGGAACACCCACTTCTATAGTTCCTTCCAACATCTCTACCACCTTTTTCATAGATGGTCGAAAAGTTGGATTGGGACTCACGCACCATAATCCAACCATTGCCATTCTTTCAAACCTCTTGAAATCACTTTCAACTTCAGCATCATGAATCACTACTATTCTTAAACTGTTTTCTTTTGCCAGATATTGAACCCAATCAATGAGTACTATGTCATCACCCGTTGTTCCATCCTCAACTTGATGCAACTCCATATGCTGTCTGCAAAATATGATTTCCAACAACAAAACGCCAAAGCTGTAGATATCCACCTTAGCAGTGACCGGTGCATTTTTGAGCCATTCTGGTGCCATATATCCCATGGTCCCTCTAGCATAGGTGCTTGTTCCAGTTTTATCTTTCATCAGTAGCTTTGCCAGACCGAAATCCGCAATCTTTGCAGTGTAATTCGAGTCAAGAAGAACATTCTGAGGCTTTATGTCACAATGGATGATTTGGTGGTCACACTCTTCATGCAGATATAACAAGCCTCTTGCAATTTCAAGCACAATTCTTACTCTACATTCCCAGCTGGGTTTATCCCCTCCTCCAAAAAGGAAGTTGGATAGTGTCCCATTTTTCATATTCTCATAAACCAGAAGCCGATGATTCTGCTCATTGCAAAAGCCCAATAAAGCAACAAGATTTCTATGATGAGTCAAAGCAATAACTTGAACTTCTGTAACAAATTCTTTCTCACCTTGATCTTCTTCTACTTCCTCCAGTTGTTTGACAGCAACCTCAACCTGTTGACCCTCCAAGTTTAAGACCCCACTATACACTGTACCATAGGCACCTCGGCCAAGTTTGTCCTTGAATCCATTTGTTGCTTCTCTAAGCTGTTGGAATGAGAATGCCTTTAGATTGATATCCATTGGCTTTGGCTTTGGTGGTTCCCTTTTGTGTATAAGATGCCCATAAACAGGGTGATGATAGATGGCAGTAGCTGCAAACAAAGCAGCAAGAAGGGAGCAAGAGATGAGAGCCCCCAGCAAAACAACCCAAGATGGTGAATCCTTTCCATTGTGCATGACAACCCGAGGAACTTTAATCAGTGTCACAAGATTACTTGTCTCAGAGCTGATTCTTCTAGCATTTATAATAGGCCACTTTTTCTTATGACAAGCAGAGCCATCTAAAACAGCAGCCATGGAGAAATTGTCATCCATCAGTGCCCTCTTGCAGCTTTCCAAATCCGAATTATTTATGACTTGTAGATCAAGAAAAAAATAATCACCGTTTGGTATATCAGCATCTGGAATTTCTTTTACTTCCACTTCCATTATAGAGTCCTCCTCTTTGAAATAGCACCCTTTGGAAGGTGCACTTGGATCCAAAGGTGTATAGCCAGGGAAGCATTCACAATTGAAAGTGTTGCCAGATGAATTGCAAAAGCCATACACCCCACAAAGAGCAGTCACCTTGCAGGGCTGTTGTACAGCCTTCCACGCAGGCGTCCACTCATTGCCATTTTTCTTATGGTAAATCGCCTTCTGAAAGTTTCCTTGACCATCCACTACCACACGATGATAATAATCTTCTATTGCACCTACTGCTTCAGTTGTCATGTTATATATAATTTGGGAGGTTCCATTCACCGCGTAAAGAAAAGATGTTGTTTTGTTAAAAATAATTCTCACATCTGTGTAAGGGATAATTCCACTGAACCAATAAGCAGCATTAGTGTATCGATAAGCTTTTAGAACTATGTTGCCATCAGATTTTTGGATCTCCAAACTGTATTGTCCTTTTGAGTAGTCCTCCAATTCAATGGCATTGGAGTAGAGCTTGTGACCCATACTCAAAGTTTGGCCTAATAGGAGTGTATCTGTGGGTGAATCAAAGCTCTGCCATATCATGTTGGAAAGTGAATTCCTCAAGATGAAATTCCCATCATTCTGCATCACCGCAGAAGCTGTGTTTGTTCCATTGTAGATAGGAAATGAAGACCCATTGACATGTTGGACCAAAAGTTGGCCACTTTGTGTAAGATTGATGGTTGATCCAATTTCAACTGGATTGTCACGGTTTGCAGACCAAGCCAGTGTCCTTTGTTGAATCTTGTCGAACCAAACTCCAACAAGATAGTGGCCCCTAGGAAGGTGATAGAACCCAAAAGCATAGTCACCAGAAGATGATCGCCAAGATGAATTGGTGCCAGCCACAATACTAGAGCCAAGTTCAACTGAATTAGCGTTCCTTGGAACATAGGAACATACAAGGAACACAAGTAAGGCACCAAAGCGAACAAGAAATTTGGTAGCCATTTTTGGTAGGAACGATAATGCAGTAAAAACTAAAGTCCTATTCTTAAAATATAAATTCATATGCTCAATAAACTCAGTCATAGTTGTATGGTTAGGAAATTTCCTGCCAATCATGGGATGAAGAATTTTAGCAGTTGCCACTACGAAGTTTGTGATAACTTTGAAACAATCAAATTTGTCAATCTTTTTTGGTGGTATCTGACTCAGACCCCGATTTGATATTTTCGTTTCTGGTCACCAAGGGCATGCGAAGCATTTAATGTACACATATTTTACAGATTATTAGCTTGTCTATAATTATGAACTGCTGTTATTTGACTTGACATATTTCCGGCTTTTCTTTTATTAGATGCCATAACTCCCCTTTCCCTTATCTTGCTGGTAACGAGAATTGTCCTGACAACAAAGTGTGTGTATATATATAATGACAGCATACAATTTTATTAAATTTTTATGATTTTAATACGTATTATTTGTAGTTATAAAGTTAAGTTAAAATATTTTTATTATATATAAATAATTATCTATAAAATATAAAATTTTATTCTTTAATTATTAAATTATATGTATATTTATTTTTAAATAAAATACAAGTGTGTTGTACAATAAATTAAACTAATACACTACTAAAAGAAGGAACTTTATTTTTGTATATTTTTATAAAAACTGTATCAATTCATTTTGGACGAAAAAATTAAAAAATTTACTAGTTAGTTTTGAAAATTAAATTTAAAAATATTTTAAATTGAAAGTTCTATCAGGACAATATCAAAAGCAACTACCTTAAACGAAAACCCAATGGTTCCGTTAAACAGATGGAAAGTTTGCTTTTTTGCACCAAAAAAAAATATCTTTTTCATCTTATTAGTTTTTTTGTAACTTTTTTAAAATAAATTTAATAATTATTTAATTTTAATTTTTTATTTTAAAGTAGTCTTTCTTTTCTTTGAAATTTCACTCTTCGTCTCTAATAACATTTACTGTTTTTCCTTGTTCTAAGCTTCACTATTCTCTTATCATTATATTTCTCGAAAATATTTCAAATATAATTACTTTCTAAATATATCTATTATTTTGATTGTATAATATATATATATATATATATATATATATATATAAACTTATAATAAAATATGACATCTTTATCGGCCTTCATTAATTTGTCAGCACTAACATTTTTTTAAAATAAATTTTCAAAATTAAAATTCTAAATTTTTATAAATACATTTTAAAATTTAAAATTTACATTATTTAAAAATTATTTTTTAAATTATTAATCCATAGACAAGTTGTCAGAAGTAGACTTCTATACTACCAAAATAAATTTTTAAAATTAAGCAGTTTCAAAATTAATTTTGAACATTAAATTTTTACACTTTTATTTTTAAAACTATAACAAGAATGCAATTTTTTTAATAAGGCTGTGAAAAGAAAGTGAAAAAGTAAAATTTCTCTTAAACAGGATTATTGGAATTGAAATTTTCCACTTTCAAAAATTAATTTATGAAATTACTAATAATTTTTAAAAAAATTCTGAAAATAGAATTTCACACTTTTAAAAATTAATTTCTGAAAGTGTAAATTTTTTATCTTAAATTTTTTTTAAAATATAGAATTTAATTTTAAAATTTTATTTAAAAATAAATAATAAATTTAAATTTTGAAGCTTATTTGAAAAAAATTAAGTTTATAATCATAATTTTTGAAATTTTATTTAATAAGAATGCAATTTTTTTTAATAAGGATGTGAACAGGAAAAAAAAACGAAAAAGTAAACCAAAATGGACCATGACGTGTTTCTAGGATCCGTTTAAAGTTATTTGAATAGGTTATCCAAATTGGATAAAAAATAAAAATAGAACTTTACACTTTTGAAAATTAATTATTAAAATTACTGATACTTTTATAAATAAGTTTTTAAGCATAGAATTTTATATTTTCAAAATTTAATTTTCAAAGTAAAAATTTTAATGTTAAAAAATTATTTTTAAAAGTGTAGAATTCTAATTTTTAAATTTATTTAAAAAAATAATTAATTCATTTAAAAAATAATTGTTGGAAGTATAAAAATTTAATAATAAAAACTTATTTTAAAAAGTTTAAGTTTAGAATCTTAATTTTTGAAAATTTATTTAATAAGAACGCAAAAATTTTTAACAAGGATGTTAAAAAAAGGCAAAATAGTAACCTAAAATGGATCATGAAAGTATAAAATCTTAATTCTAAAAATTTATTTTTAAAAGTGTAAAATTCTAATTTTAAAAATTTATTGTAACAAATTTAATAAATTTAAAAATTTATTTTTAAAATATAAAATATTAATTATAAAAACTTGTTTAAAAAAATAATTTTAAAATCTTAATTTTTGAAATTTCTTTAATAAGAATGCAAAATTTGTTAATGAAATGTGAACAGAAAAGGAAAAAAAAAAAAAAGCGTCGATGCCGCCCCGGCAAAAATTGCATCATGACGTGTTGATACTTTATAGGGTGCATTTTAAGTGATTTGAACAGGTTACCCATATTGACAAAAAAAATTAATTTTAAAAATAAAATTTGTACATTTTCAAAAATTAATTTATGAAATTATTGATACTTTTAAAAATAAGTTTTCAAAAATTAAATTTACACTTAAAAACTAGGATAAATGATCTTTTAATACAATACCTTATTTTATACTATATTTTTATAAATAAAAAAATTATATATCAATTTTTATATGAAATAGAAAAATGACTATATATCTTGACAATTTTAAATTATCTTTTAATTTTTATTCTTAAAATATTTTTTATAATTTAATCTTTATAAATAAAAAAAATTGTATATCAGTTTTTGTAAAAAAAATTATTTTCAAATTCATCCTACTAATATGGCAACATTTTTATGTGTCAAATAATATTTTCTTATTATCTTCATAAGAATATTTTAAATTTTTTAAATAAGTCTCATATTTCATCTCCATTATCATAATTTTTCTACTCTATGGTATCTTACTATAATTCTCATCCTTCTCCAATCATCTTTATTTTAATATCTCAAATATTAGTCATGTTTTTAAGGAGTTTTTTCTATATTTTTAGTATATTTGTAAAAAAATTAAAATAACTCTTTAAATTATCGCTATCATCATTATTTTATTTTATTTTATTTGTAATTACAAATTAACTATTTTAAAAAAAAATAACATTCAAATAAAGATCATAAAAGAATATATGAGAATTATTATAAACATGTGATAAAACAAACAAATAATGATATTTAAGATTAAAATAATATTCATATAAAAACAAATCAAAATATGATTTTTCATATTAGTTTCTACATTAATTTAAAGTAAAAAATATCAGTTTGTAAAATAAAACTTGACATTATTAATTAAAAATGTATAAAGTAAAATATAAAGTTTCTTTAAAAAATTCAAAATACTCTTTGAAAATGATGGAAAAATATCATTTGATACTAATATGAAAATATCAAGGTAGGACAAATTTAAAAACAATTTTTTGCATATGATATGATATACAATTATTTTTATTTATAAAGATTAAATTACAAAAAATGATTTTATATAAAGACTTAAAGAATATTTAAATATGCTATGTTAGATAATTGTTTGTCATATAAAAAATTTATTTATTCTTAAAAATTAATTTTTTGAAAGTATAAAATCTTAATTTTAAAAAATTATTTTTAAAATTGAAAATTCTAATTTTAAAATATATTTTAAAATTAATTAATAAGTTTAAAATATATATTTTTGAAACTTATTTGATAAAAAAATATTAAGTTTAGAATCTTAAGGTTTGAAATTTTATTTAATAAAAATGCAAATTTTTTTAATAAGGATGTGAACAAAAGAAAAAAGAAAAAGTAACCCATAATGGACCTACCGTGAATAGATTATGCAATTTGACAAAAAAAAAATTTGAAAATAGAATTTTACATTTCAAAAATTAATTAATAAAATTACTGATACTCTGCAAATAGTTTTCCAAAATTAAATTTTTATAATTTTAAAAATTGATTTCTAAAAGTATCTTAATGTTAATTTTTGAGTGTAAAATTATAATTTTAAGATTTTATTTTAAAAAATAATTAATTAAATTAAAAATTAAATTTTGAAAGTATAAAAAATTTATTATAAAATATTATTTAAAATATTTTAAATTTTAAATCTTAATTTTTCAAAATTTATTTAATAAGAATGCAAAACTTTTTTAATAACGATGTGAAATAAAAGAGTGACCCAAAATGGATCATGACATGTTTCTAGGGTTCATTTTAAGTGATTTGAACAGGTTATCCAAATTGACCAAAAAAGGTAATTTTTGAAAATAAAATTTTAAGTTTTAAAAATTAATTTATGAAATTAGTTATATTTCTAAAAATAAGTTTTCAAAAATTAAATTTTACACTTTCAAAAATTAATTTCTAAAAGTGTAAAATCTTAATTTAAATTTTTTAAGGGTAAAATCATAATTTTAAAAATATTAGATATATTTTAAAAGTAATTTTGAAAGTATAAAAACTTATTTAAAAAAATTAAGTCGAGAATCTTAATATTTGTAAATTTAAAATAAGAATGCAATCTTTTTAAAAAAATGTTAACAGGAAAAAAAAAAGTAACGCAAAATTGGATCGTGACGTGTTTCTAGGGTGCATTTTAAGTTATTTGAACAAGTTATCCAAATTGACCAAAAGAATTAATTTCTGAAAATAAAATTTTACATTTTTAAAAATTGATTTATGAAATTAATGATACTTTTAAAAATAATTTTCCAAAAATAAAAAATTTACAATTTTAAAAATTAATTTCTAAAAATATAAAATTTTAATTTTCAAGACTTATTTTAAAAGTGTAAAATTCTAATTTTAAAATAATTAATAAATTTAATATTTAACTTTTGAAAGTACAAAAACTTAATTATAGCAACTTATTTGAGAAAAAAGGTTTAAGTTTAGAATCTTAATTTTTGAAAATTTATCTAATAAGAATGCACGTTTTTTTTAATAAGGATGTGAACAGAAAAAGATATAAATGGGCTAAAAAGCATTCGAAAATGGATAATAACGTTTTTCAAGGGTCCATTTTAAGTGATTTGAACAGGTTATCCATATTGAAAAAGGAAAAAAAAAAAACAAGTTATCCAAATTGAAATCGAAGATTTTGAAAAAAAAAAAAAAAAAGGAGTGAACCGCGACGAAAAAATCATTCGAAGACCAGCTAACTAATAACCGCTTTTATTTTTATATTTACTCGAATATATCAAATTTTATTTTTAATTAGTTTTTTAGTTTATTTTGAATTCATTTTAATATTTTTTATATTATTTAATTATTTATTACACATTGTTAAGTTAAGTTAATTTTTTAAAATACTAATTATTGAAAATTAATATTTTTACTAATATAATTAATAAATACTCAATCAGGGACATACCAAATTTTTATGTTAAGATTGAATCAAACAAAATCTTATATACAACGTTAATATTGAATATCATAAAATTAATCTACTTTATATATCAAATTAAAGTTCAGTTTTTTAGAATAGTTAAAATTTTAACTTAGCCCTATCTCAAAGAACGACACGTATTATTCTTGACTTGTTTTTAAATTTTAAATTTGAATTCATTTAAATTAACAACGTTTTTAAACGTTTTACATTTTTCAAATTTTAATCTAGAATTTTGTAATTTAACTTAAATGAATCATAAACATTTTCTATATTTTAAAATATTTTATACTGTAATAGCAAAAAATAAATATTTTATACTGTAATTTATACTTTACATTTTATTTGATTTTAATAATATTTCTATATTGCATGAGATAGATACTCGTTAATAATTGTAAATTAATGGTAAAAATATATTTAACAGGGATTATTATTTTCAAATAATATCTAAATTAGTAAGTATTTTAAATATAAGTATTGAACTAAACTGATTCAAGCAGCTCCAAGAAAATAAAATTTATTTAATATTTGGATTTTGATAAAGTAAAGGTATTATAAGAATTTAATATATATATTTATTAGAATTGCATAAAAATTACACTAGGAGTGTGTTTATAACAAATTTTTATAATTTATTTAAAATTGTTAACTGATGTCTATTGTCATTCTATTTAAACAAAATAACACTCATCCTGTCTTAAGTTTAAAATTTTTTACTTGGTATTTTTCTTTTTCTTAATTTTACACAAATTTCCCTTAATTTGTATAATAATATAATACTAAATACATTTTTCTAATTCATAATTTGTCAAATACGAATTAAGAAAGAAAAAAGTAAAATATTAAATAAAATTTTGTTAAACCGTAAACGGTATAAATGTAATTATTCCTTTTTTATAAAGATCATTCTTACCATAATATTTAATAGTTACTTTTCTTTTCTTTTTTTTTTAATCATTGATATTTCATGCGAGTAAAGTTAAAAAGATTGTTATTTATTTTTATTATTTTTGAAAGCAAGGTGCATAGAAAAATAAATTTATTATGTAGTACAGTTCCAGGATCATGTATGCTCTAATATCTTGACAATGAACTATAGACAATTACACAATTAAATGCTAATGATTTTGTAAATAGTTAGTGTTTGGTGCTAAAGAAAAGGTTTTGGTTTACAATTTGAATTAAATGTTATGGTCATCATACATAGGTACATCATGGAATTCAGAAAAACAATAATCTAGAACAATCAGGGGACAAAGTTCTTGGACTTGCCACGTAATCAACTGGAGTCTGGAAAATTCTGGTATGTGGTAAATGATAAATATACAAATTAAAAAATTATAAATTATGTTTAATGTATTTTTTAAACCTATTATCAATTAAAATATATATGCATTTTTGGCTTTGGATAATACCATGATCTCCTTTTAAAGAAAATCTATCGATCCTAAAAACACAAGTAGTATTTGTTTATGTATATTTATTTTATTAATTTTTTTACTTGAAAAAGAGATAACTTTCATCAGAAATAATCTTATTTAAGTAAAATAAAATGACCACAAGAGTCGTGCAAATCGATACAAACAGTGGTAATATTTTATTAAATTAATATAATTATTTAATTGTTGAATAAAATTTAAATTAATTTAGTATAGATATGAAAAAAATGCACCGAAAGTGTTAAGTATTAGGTGGTTTCTGGGAGGGTCTAGAACAGGAGGAGCTCTGTATTAGTTAGCGTCTGTGTTGTGCATCGGTATCGCGTTTTGTGTTGCTCTATTCGCTTTGCTTCATTTCTATTCTTCTGCTCTCTTCTACATTGTGCTGCGCCTTTCAGGTTTGTCTTCTTTACTTTCATCTCTCTCCCTCTTGTATCATGTGAAGGTAATTACTGTTAATTGATACTCGAGGAATAGAATCGCCACCATGATGCATTCGTACTCACATTCACACTACACGCACAGTTTCACTTTAACGTGTACTTCGTCGTAATTGAGGAATGTATTTAATGAAAATCTGTTCCCTTGATGCTACTTAAGCCCGCTGCAAGACCTATCAATTAGTCGATTTAGGATGGAAAAAATGCAATTGTAGAAATATATTGTTGGTCAGTTCATGTATTAATGGGATTAATCTGCAGCATTGAAATATATGTGTAACAGTGTGATTATTAGTAACTTAGTTTGTCTGATTTGTTGGATGATACTTACGAAGGATAATGCATGGTTAGTTCTGTGATGAGTTTTGCTGCAGTTTGATTTTACTTTAGTGAAGTTATCTTGTAGTGTAGGTGTTTGTAAGAAGACTTGCGTGGAATGTGTTTTTGTGCTTTTTCACACCTGGATTTTGGGTCTATAATTGATGCCAAATATGGTGACTTATTGCTGTGAGATATCCATTGCTCTCTTGAAGGGATTGGAATGCTATCTTTATTTGTTGTCAAACGACATCAGAATGTTTCAAATTCAATTCTATTTTGCGCTGTTGTTTGGGAAGATTGGGAAGATTATGTATATGTATGATTTGTGGTCTGATAGTTACATTTACACTTGCGATGAAAATTTACTATTACCAATGTTATCTACCGGGTTCTAGAGAATAGTTAAGTTTAACAACTGCAGAATGGATGAGAGTCGTGAATGATCAATCATCATTTGATGAAATGATGCTGCTAACAGTATGCCTTTGTGCTTTTTCTTCACTTCTGCAATGATCATGTGGTTTTTGGACTGAAGAGTACTTAACGTTAGCCAAAATGACAATTTAAAACTAAGTGACGATAACTGAACACGCTGTTACTTATCGGAGTTGTGAGTTCAGAGTGTTCTTTTGGACATGTTATAATGTTTTGATGAAAACTCTCTTAACTTTCCTCTGTCTGTTAAACGCAGGATGGTGGAACCTGCATATACTGTGGCATCTGACAGTGAAACCTCTGGAGAAGAAAAGTCATCTACTTTTCCTGAAATAGCGATTGGAATTGACATTGGTACATCACAGTGTAGTGTTGCTCTATGGAATGGTTCCCAAGTGGAGCTTTTGAGGAACACAAGGAATCAAAAGATTATGAAGTCATATGTAACCTTCAAAGACACCATCCCTTCTTGTGGAGTTAGTAGTCAACTCTCCCATGATCAGGAGATGCTGTCTGGAGCCACAGTTTTCAACATGAAACGCTTGATTGGCAGAGTTGATACTGACCCGGTTGTCCATGCAAGTAAAAACCTCCCATTTCTTGTACAGACCTTGGACATTGGCGTTCGCCCATTTGTTGCTGCATTAGTGAACAATATGTGGAGATCTACGACTCCAGAAGAAGTCCTGGCAATATTTCTGGTGGAATTAAGAGCAATGGTCGAAACTCAGTTGAAACGACCAATAAGAAATGTAGTTCTTACAGTTCCAGTTGCATTCAGTCGATTTCAGCTAACCCGGATAGAGCGTGCTTGTGCCATGGCTGGCCTTCATGTTCTCAGATTAATGCCTGAACCAACAGCTGTGGCTTTGTTATATGGACAGCAACAACAGCAGGCTTCTCAAGAAAATTTGGGCAGCGGAAGTGAGAAAATTGGTCTCATTTTCAATATGGGTGCTGGTTATTGCGATGTTGCTGTCACTGCTACTGCTGGAGGAGTATCGCAGATAAAAGCCTTGGCAGGAAGTACCATTGGTGGTGAAGACTTGCTTCAGAATATGATGCTTCATCTGTATCCAGATTCTCAAGATCTGTTTAAGAACCGTGGGGTCAAAGAAATTAAATGGATGGGCCTGCTTCGAGTTGCAACCCAGGATGCCGTTCACCGGCTTTCCTCTCAGACCAGTGTTCAGGTTGATGTGGACTTGGGAGATGGTTTGAAGATAAGCAAGGTTGTTGACCGGGAGGAGTTTGAGGAGGTAAACAGAACGGTGTTTGAGAAATGTGAAAGCCTTATCATCCAGTGTTTGCAAGATGCCAAGGTAGAAGCTGAGGACGTAAATGATGTAATAATTGTAGGTGGATGCTCTTATATCCCAAGGGTGAAGAATCTTGTTACTAACATATGTAAAGGAAAGGAACTTTACAAAGGCATGAATCCTTTGGAAGCTGCTGTTTGCGGTGCAGCAGTGGAAGGAGCTGTTGCTTCTGGCATCAATGATCCCTTTGGGAACTTGGACTTGTTAACTATCCAAGCCACACCTCTTGCCGTTGGGATTCGAGCTGATGGGAACAACTTTGTCCCTGTAATTCCGAGGAATACCACAATGCCAGCGCGGAAGGAGCTAGTTTTCACAACTGTTCATGATAATCAAAACGAGGCATTGATCCTTGTCTATGAAGGTGAGGGTAAAAAGGCAGAAGAAAACCACTTGTTGGGATATTCCAAGATAGTGGGAATACCTGAGGCGCCTAAAGGAGTCCCAGAAATCAACGTGTGCATGGACATAGACGCTGCGAACGTGCTAAGAGTTTTAATTGGTGTCGTGATGCCTGGTTCTCGCCAACCTGCAATTCCTGTTATGGAAGTAAGGATGCCAACGGTAGATGATGGGCATGGTTGGTGCGCTGAGGCGCTAAATAGAACCTATGGTGCTAACCTAGATTTGGTTACCCTCCACAACAAAGCATAAAGTGATACACAACATCTTTGTACTTTTTTTTTTTTTCTAGTGTTGTTTTCTTGTGGTTGTTTCCGCAATACAAGTTGATGTACATGACATGTCAGATGTTTGTAATGTTTATCTCAAATAATGAAAATAGTATATGCCTAAAGACTATAGTTCAAAATGCTGATTTCAATGGAATTTTTAATCCACGGCGGTGAGGATCAACCAGTTGAGAAAACCTTCATTATAAGTTGAGAATTTGATTTTAAAACTGAAGTCATGCAGCAATTACAAACCGTAATCTGGAAATGCTCTGTACGAGTGAAAAACAATTAGTTTAATAAATTAAAATTTGAAAAATTATTAAAAATATTATAAACACATGTTATTATAAATATTTATTAACATTTTGAATTATTACTCTTTAAATATCCTTACAAGAGTCAAATTTATAACAAACACTTGAATTACTGAGTTTTGCCACTGTAAGAGTTCCGTTTCGAACATGCTCCATTCTTCCCATGCAGCAGACATTACAAAACTGTACAGAAATAAAAACAAAAACCATCGCCTGCCGTGGCTGCTAAATACGTCAAGTCGTTTAATTTGGTTCTCTTTCATGATGTGACAAGCGACATCGAGCTCATGGGGACACACTTGAAATTGAGGGAGAACAATGAGTGAATCATCGGCCCATAAGTTAATCCATTCTGTTTCAAAGCCCATTAAAAACATGTAAACGCAAATTTAATACAGAAATTATTACTAGCTTCGAAACACACTCAATTGAAATACACCACACACCACTGCTAGGAGTACTCTATGTACTTTGATCTCATGGGGAAGGAAAAAAGATAGAAAAGAAAAGAAAAGAAAAAGGGGTGTGTTGTGAGATTCAGAAACGTTGAGAAAGTGAAAGGTGGTGTCGTCTAACTGTAACGTGAGATGATACGAGTCCACCCAGTGGGGGCCGCATCTTTGACCTATAGAGCGTTTCATCGTACGGTCTTCTGTAAAACTTGAAAAACGGAATCAACGATTCCCGAGAGGTCTCTCTCTCTGCTCTGCCTCTCCGCAACCACGGCGATTGCAGGAAGGAAGGGCGCGGTGTCCGTTGTGTGGGACCCACCAGGGATGCTGACGTGTCTGAGAGGCTGAGATACCAAGGCTTGAATGAGTGAACGTGGTGGGAGACTGTGAAGGCAAAGCGGGAAGAGGAGCATGACCCAATCTTCGCCTTCTCCTTCGCTTTCATTTCCTCTGATTCCTCCAAATCCACCGATGACACCACTGTCGTCACTCCTGATAGCTCCACCACTGCGCCCACACCCTGCACCCTCAACACACACAATCATCTCCTTTTCATCTTTTTAGTTACTAACATTTTTCTTCTATCAAAGCTATGCAAACCTCTGACTGTTCCAAGAACATGCATGCACAAACACGTTATTGAACCTAACCAAACTTTTCATAATGTCAAAATATTATTGAAAAACATGTGGTACACACCCACATGCATGATGTGATATCAAACAGAAAATAATGTTAAAAAAATTAATATTATATAAATAAAAAGTGGAATGATATAGGAGTTTAACTGGCACTGGTTAAGACTAGATTGCCAAAATTGAGCATTATGAATTTTGATTTTCTCCTCTTTTGTTTTTACCTTCCATAAGTAAACGAACAGCGAGGGAGGGTCTATGATAAACGCTTTATGAAGGCGGCCCGGGTAGTACTCCCCCGTTATTTTCAGTGCTGCCAGCAGTAAGTTCATAAGAGCAGATGCAGACCTGTAAAAGCCTGCAAACAAACACGACCCTCCTAAATCAATTCTCCCAATTATGTAATTTTTATTTATTTATTTAACCTTTGTATAATACATAGCAAGGTCAATTTGTTAGATCACGGTAATTTTAGTGTAAAGAGGGTGATCAAGATTTATAGAATTTTTGGTTCAGTTTAACAAAGCAAAGAGCAGAAAATAATCAGCGGTCTCACAATTTTTTTTTTCTATACTTACTTTTCTTTTTATTTTTTTATCACATCATCTATTTTATTTTTCTTTAGCCTAATTCAATTAATCTCTTTTAAACATTCATTTCTCCATGCAAGTGTTTGAAGGTCTAAGAATAGAATCTTATTAAATTAATAAATATTTTTTATTATTCAACATTAGGTTAACACTTTCCATAAGAATATCATTCATCGAAAATCATTGGTTAATGGCAAAAGGTAAAGGGTAGTATGATAGGTATTTCTGTGCCACTAATTGGAGTGTAGACCGTGACACTTGCTGTGCAGTCTCAGACAATTTCTGAGAGTGCCTCAGATCTGTGGTTGGGATCCGGAACAATGATTCAGTTTACATGGCTTTTTACGCTTTTTATTTTATTTATTTTAATGAGGGTAGTGTTGTTTTGTGAAACGGCATGACGGGAATTGTGGGTGGAAGTACTTACTTGCATCGAAAAGCATGACAAATTGTTGTACGTTCTTTGGCATGGTCGAAACAGCCACCTCCATTGTGAACGCCAACAGACGAGTAAGCCTTTGGAATAAAACAAGAGAAAAACCAACCACACTTTAGCTCTATCTGCACAAATGAAAATTAACAACACAAGGGTGATAATGTTAGGTTTCTAATTCTCTTATGTTTGGGAACTTACTTTTTCTGGGAGTGAAGCTTCTGGTAGTCTTGCTTCATCCGGAAAATCTGTTATGGCGTTACCCCAATTCAGGTCATTAACATAAATATAAAGCTAGTGTTCACACACCCAAATGAAGAACCAACAATAAAATTACCATCACAGGTCTGGATTCATCGTCATGGCCAGCCACATAAGCCAACCCATCAGCCAGTTCAGCTGAGAATTCATCTGCCACCAAATGCTCTGTGTAACAAAATAATAGACAAATTAAAACTAGTAATAATCATATTGAAGAAGATAACAAAAAAGTAAACACTTTCTTGTTTGAGGCTTTAATCATTGGTAAGGAGGCTTTAAGGCTTCATATCAAATAAAGGGAAAAGCAAGACCCTTTGCCTATAGGTTGCACTTTTCACGATATATAATTGTGATAATATAATATATATATATATATATATAGTTATTTACCAGTGCCTATACTCTCTCTCCAAGAAAGGCAGGCCCTGAGTTGCTTCGCAGCTCTTTTTACATTATCCCCTTTCGCTTTCAGAAATCGTTCCACACAAGCGTAGTTGCAAAACTTCTCCTACACAAAAACGTATTATGAACAGAACCACACAAAGCATATATAGGGAGAGCTATGATGTACTTTTTAATTCTAAACAGTGAAGCAGAAGAAGAAGGAACAGAAGAAACAGAAGAAACAAAGTTGAGACTATTTACTCAGCATATTTTTGTTCATATATGTATAATTGCATGATCAAGGAAGAGAATGTGATGTGAAGCAAAGATAATTAATAGAACCTGTTTAACAGTGAGCGGGGTTTGTTTCCTGATGAGCGCAAGAACAGCTTCAACTCTTGCCGTATCTCTCTGCTCCTTCTTAGCCATTTCGAGAAACACGAACTTCAAAAAGCGATGCGAATGATCAAAATCCCCAACAACAAGAGAACACAAAAACAGCTAAGAGATTGCTGAAAAGGATAGAGGGACTTGGTGGCCGTTTATATAGCGAAACGACGGCTCATAACGCCGTTACACAGGAAGCACGCTTGCGCATGCAAAATCAGTAATATGAGAGAAAAAAACGGCAAAAAGTCTTTGAAAACGCAAGGGTGCAGTGTTTTTTTCGTCAATGCCATGAGATGGGTCACCACAGCAATGATGTGTCCGACACTCATTCATAACAGAAAACGACTGCTTAATAAAAGAAACCTTAAAATTTATTAAGAATTATAAAAAATATAAGAAAAAATAATAATATTTATAATTTTCAATAAAAATGTTATTAGAAATTTTTTTACCACAAGCTGTATTGATTTGTTTTATATTCTTGTCTATGTGAAAAGATGCGGATTTAGTATTCATATAATATAAATATAGAATGGTGCGAGAAAAATATTGTTTATGGAAAAGTTTTTTAAAATTTCTATTAATTCTAATAGAGTTATATATAAATCAAATTCTACGTTATGTTGTTAGACATTGTTGAGAGACTAGATTTACAGAACACTACAAAATAAACACAGTGAAATGTGATATCTAACACAATGATAAGTAAGAACTTTGGTTTAATGAAATTTTTAATTAAATAATAATTATTTTTTATGTCAAAATTTGATGTTTTCTAATTCTTTGATTTGGTGTCTTGAAAACTATAATCACTTTTTATTTTAGACTTATTATTATTTTCTAATGGATCTAAACTCATTTTTCACTTATTAAATCTATATTACTTTATATCAGTCGTTTAAAATTTACTTAAATTAAATTGTTTATATTAAATTCATATAAATAAAAGTAACTTATATAAATATAAATAATATGTATCTCATATTATAAATATAACATTTTCAACAAAAGGTGGAACATATATTCCTCACTACTAGCATTGAGTTTTCATGGTGACAGAACAGTTCCATTGTTTGATGTATGAATAAGGAGAATTTGTGCAGATGCAAAAGGTACATGTGACTTGGGTAAAGATTTGCGACGGTAACTAGTCATTACAGGAACAAGTAAAGGGTATTCTGGAAATGAAAGAATGGTGAGTGAGTAATCAAAAGCCAAAACCAAGCCTCGACCATATGAACGGATATGGCGGGATGAGTCGTCCACGTGTTTGTTTATGTCACGAGATCCTTTCACAGTAATATTTTTAATAATAAGAAGAAATTTTTATACATTAATATAACTTTAAAAAATTTTATATTTAATCTAATCTTTTTATTTAATTTATATTTAACAATAAATAAAATAATAAGTTATAATTTAATAAATATAAATTAAATAAAAATTCATCTCAAATATAAAAGGTTTTAAACTTACACTGAAGTAAAGTAAAAAGATTTTATTTTTTTTAATAATGTTATAACTTTTTTAATTTAATTTGCTCAATAATTTTTATTTTCTTCCACGAATAAACGTACATTCAAATTGTTTAAAAAATTACTCAGTTTCATTTTTAATTATATTAAAAATATAAATATTTTTTAATTTTAAAGAGATTAAAAATATTATAACCTACAATATAAAAAAATATAAAGTATCCTTTTAAATTTAGAAATACGATAACAAACACTAAAAAATATTAGTGAGTTTAATATTTAAAAATTTTTGAAAAAAAAGTATAGTTCTAGGTATGTTTTTACTCAAATATGATTAATTTCTGTGGAAGATATATATAGTTTAGAAAAAAAAATAGTTAATATTTATAATTTAAAAAAATAAAATACAATTTTTTAGATAAAAATGTTAAATTTTTTTCATAAATTAATTTAAATGTTTACTTTTAGTTTATATTAAAATAATATAATATTCTTAAAATAGTTAAGAATATAGAGTCTGTTAAAGGACAGATAATGACACGTCATATTTGAATGGAGTGATGGCTTCTAAAAGGAGAGGGTTTTGTTTGTAACATTTGTGTGGAAACTGGTTGGGAGTGGGAAGAACATGCAGCGTGTTTCCCTATCTATTTATTTATCTCACAATCTACGTGCCACTGTCGCTGATGAATTGTGATCTTTGCGTCTGAAAGAACCGAAAATAGTGTTTTTGGGTTAGAAATGGAAAACTGCGAAATCCACTTTTTGGTTTCATATTGTTCTTCTTGCTTAAAATGTTTGAGGGAATGTTCTTTATCATGTTCAGTCCATTTCAAAGGAGATTCTGCGACCCTTTTCTGGAAGCACCTTAAGAATTCTTCATTTTTACCCCATTTTTCTGCATTTTACTCTAATAAATACTTGGGTGAAAACTGATAATTAATTAATACCCAAGTTATTGTTTAATGAATCTAAATTTTTGTTTTCTTCTTATTTGTAATTAATACCCAAGTTATTGTTAGATTTCTTTTTATATTACGTCTGATGCAAACAACAGCAGTCAAAAAGAAAAATATACAAGTGAGGTTAGATTTATATTTAGCTAGATTCTTTCAATTCGTCTACTCTTAAACTACTATGTACATTTGAAACGTGTGTTTGTTTAGATCAATTTACTTTTAATTTAGTATTTTGAGGATTTTTTTTTTTTGGATTTATTAATATTAACCCCCTCCCTCTCATTAAATTACATAAAATTTTGTTATATAAACCTTTATTTACATAACCTAAGAGAAATAATGTTAGATTCGAATGATAGATATTCCATAGCTTAATTATAAGGCAAATTTAGATAAACATGTAGGTAAATATGTGTTTGGAACCTAATAGAATATTAGGAATAAAATTGGAAATGGAAATGAATTAATTGAAGAGCAAGGAAGTGAGCCGAGAACAAAAAACTATGAATATAAAAAGAGAAAATGACTAAAAATAAGAAGCTTCTTTTCTCTCAAGTTTAAGGAACCTCTTCTTTTTTCTCTTACATTTTTGTTACTTCAAAGTAGTAAAAGTAAGGAAGAAAAACAAAGAAACTTCATAGAATACTTACTTTAAAGAGGTCTTTTAACAAGTGTGCTTTCTAACAGAACTTACAAAGACGAGTATTTAGACGAAGTGAACATTTCTTAATATGCTTGAGTAAATGAATAATGTTTAAGAACATTCTGGCAAACAAAAACTTATAAATGATATTTAAAGTGTAGAATTTTCAATCATAATTTTATTCTAGTAAGGGTATTTTTCACCTCGAAAAAGATAGATAGCAATTGTCCTTAAGCATAGCCTACATCTTGAGACATTAAACAACTTCTCACAAAAATGAAACATGTTAAGAGATAGAGTTAAATTCATTTTCTCATAAAAGCATTTGTTTGATTCACTCCTTACAAGTTAAGAATTTATAAACTCATTTATTTTTGTGTACTTCATAGATTTATAAACTTATTCTTGTAACATTTTTGGTCTTATGCAAAAGAAAAAATAAAATAAAAATAAATAATTTTTTATAAATGTAAAATAATTTATCTTTTCAAATTATATAAAAAATAAATAAGAACAAGTTCTAAAAAAAAGTATAAATTTGATTTTAATTTATAAGAATAGTTTGATTGATATTACAACTTAATTTTTTTTTTCTTTTATAAATATTTATTAAAAAGTTTATTTAAACTGAATTTTTGTATTTTTTTTATAAGTTCAAAATAGTTTAGAGATTACGAGATATTTCATTTCTTTCCATTTTTTTTTTCATTTCATGTATTATAACTTATAGCCAAGAATCTGTCATGTTGCATTAGTTTAAGAAAATGAAAACATGTTAAAACATCTATTTATAATGGATAAAAACAAATCCAACTTCAATTTGCTTATAATATTTAAAAAGCTTTTAATTAATATAACATGTAGCATATATAAACTAGAAGAAAGAAACATCATACATCATTTTCTTGATTTCTGATTTTTTAAATGACAAATCAATGCATAAAAGCATCAATAAATTAAAATTAAGATTTAAGATATATATATATATATATATTGACTCATTCACGATATAGGGAAATTTTATGCTATTAATTAACAAGTCAAGACCATATTAATAACAAAAAGTGCTGATCGACGGATTAGTGGCAGTGGCTTATAAGCGTACAGAAGAATAATGATGGGGCAGTGAAAATGGATCTTGGCAGCAGAGTATCAATGGGAAATATATAATTTTGCAGATTCAATTCATCACAATTTTTGGACTTAACTATTTGACCCATATGCTGAATTCTGATCCTTCTTGGCCCATCCATTGATGGGCTTTCAGCCCAATCCATACTCCCTGACACAGTCTCCACAGACACCATTTTGAGTAAATATATATCCACCACATTGAATTTAAACAAAATAATAAAAATAATAATTATATGTCTTTATATTTATCCCAAAGCACATTCGCAAAATCCCTTCTTTTTAATATCAATTATAAGTTAAAACTCATCTTTCATCTTCCGGTCAAGTCGTTATTGAGGACTTCACAATGTGTTTAATTACAACTTTTACTTGTTTAACTTATTTTAATTATAGATTATTCGGTTATAAATTCGGATCTAATTTATTATACAAAAAAAAATTATTGAATAGAAGACTTGATATTAATAGAATGATTTTTAATACTTTCAAACTGAATAAATATATAATTTCATCCCAAAAATCTAGCTTAGTCCATTTAATTCGTCAACATCATGATAAATCTGTCCTTTATTTATCAACTTAGTCATTCAATTTCATAATATTTTAGTCCTTTCATGACAAATATATACCCAAATTTAGTCAACTTCATGTTAGATGAACTGGTTTGTCACGAAATTATCTAATTTAGGGACTACATTATATAAATAGAAACTTTTTGTACTGGGAAAGGAATCAACTCGGTTCCACCATCAGCAAAAAGAAACCGAATACCTACTCGGCATACTAGGCCGGTACCCCTAGTCAGGATTAAAAGATAAATAATCCAAATTAAAGATAATCAAAAATACTATGGGCCTCAAA